ATAGTATTTTAATTTTGGTAGCATTAGAATTTGTAGTGTGGAATCTCCTAGTTAATACATAGGTCCTTTATTACAAAATTTTGATATTAAAATAATCAATTAGCAGTACATATCAAGAGTGACATGACAAGTATATAGATATTATTTCATGGCAGAAAAATTGATATTTGACTGGAATTATATTACTTTCTTAAAAGAGGTAGGAATGTTAAGTGGATAGAAACTAGATTTTAGAAGATAGTCTTTTTTTAGTCTTGGTACTACTGATTTGATCTCTGACCCAAGACAACTCATTGTTTGCTTTCTGTAAGTTTTTTATCATCTCCCTGATTCTTCTTGTGAGAAATAATGAGTAGAAGAAAAAGACATTAAATAAACAAGACTTAGCTATTTATGTTATTCACAACTAAAATGGAGTTTTGATGAATTGAAAAAAGATTTACTGTGTCTCTACTAAATGCAAGGCCGTGGAGGATGGTAGGCTTCTCAGAGTTAAAGCATTTGAACTAAACCTTGGAGAAAGGATAAGGAGTAGACAAGCATAGAAGAAGAATAAAGGCATTCCGTTTATTCATTGAGTGAAATGTGGTTCACTTTTAGGTTTGCATGTCTGCTGGAGCCACACATTTTTTGAGATTGGCTGATAATAATAGCCTCATAAACTCTGTCAGGATGGGTCATAGAGGGCTATCTTGGTATCTAGAAATAGCACAGGGGGGTCAGACTTGGGTTTGAATCTGTGGTACATATACTTTCTGAGACTTTCTTCATTTATAAAGTGAGGATAATGGTAGCATTAAGTATCTCAAAGAATTGGTTTTGAAGAAAGTATTTTAAGGTTTATAAGGCACTATGGAAATGTTGGATTGTTATTACGTTACTGAAGAGGAGTAATGTATTTGGATTTACTTGTTTGAAAGTGATGATTTCCCATGTTGTGAAGTGTCATATATGATGTTAATAGATTTGTTGGGGGTGAGTATTTGAGATGTACAGTTTACTTTTGTAGAAAATAGTGAAATTATTTTGTACTTAATTTTTTTTTAACTTTGGGCCTCTTTTTTTCTAAAGAGAAGTCATAGTTGACAAAGTGCATTGAGAGTTTGAATAACTGTATAACTTTATGGTAATAATAGCTGATATTTATATAACATTTTCAAGTTTTCAGAGTACTTAACATAGAATATCCTTATAGCAACCCTGTAAAGTTTGTGCTATATAAATGATGATCTCCCCATTTTATAGAATTAACAGGTTGAAAGAAGTTAAGTGACTTGTCCAGAATCACTCAGAAATAAGAGTCAGAGACAGGATTTGTGCTCAGGTCTTTCCTGACTGTAAGGCAGGAACAGTTAATTAAATTTTTTTCCCCAAAAAACATTTATTTATTTTGTTAAAAGCTGGATCTCCTTGTCTTGCTCAGGCTAGAAGTGAAGAGGCTACTTTTGAGCTTAGTCTCACTTTGATCTACACAATAACTTTAACTTGCTCTGTTTCTGACCTGGACCGATTTACACTTCCTTAGGCAACCTGGTGCTTCTCTTCCTCCCCTCTTTATGCCCCTCACCCCATCGCAGGGCCTTACCATGTTAATGCCCAACTTAGTGAAGACAACCGAATTGGCCTCAAACTCAAAAGATGGATGACACCAGGGGCATTTGAAAGAAGAATTATTAATGCCTTTTTTATTTTTTCACATCATAGGCATTTCCTCATAACCAAGCCTAGTCACTGGCACTGCCCCTCCCTTTTTCTCTCCTCCCTGTTTTAAAGAATAAGAGGCCAAACCCAATCAATTCAGCAGCTCTGTATGTAGTACTTTTTACCCATAAAACCCAATTCTCTTTATTTGAAGTTATTGTGTATATTTTCTTCCTAATTCTGCTTACTTCATTCTTCATCAGTTCATATAATTTGTTCTATGTGTCTTCTAATCATTTTTAGAAATTTTTGTTCTATTACATTTGCTACAGTTCAGCCATTTGCCAATAAATAAGCACTTATTTTATTTATTTATTTTTTGCTCCCACGGAAGCATTACTGTGATATTTTATCACATGTGGAGCTCTTTGGTCTGTGTTTGACCTCCTTGATATATGTGTGTGTGTGTGTGTGTGTGTGTGTGTGTGTGTGTGTGTGTGTGTGTGTGTACACACATACACACACGCGCACACACACACACGCCCAGGAGTGAGATCATGGGTGATGAATAGTTAGTAACTTTCTAGAATACTCTTTTCATTATGCCATGCTATCTCTGGATGTGTCTCCACAAATGAAAACTCAGAAAGGAGTTAGCTTAGAAAGGTGATTTATAAGTCTAAGAAGATCATAGAGGGAAATAAATTAAGTATCATAATTTCCATCAATGTTTCCAGATTTCCATTTAATATAGTATACAAACCAAAAGATGTTTTAGGATAGTAATATTAACAGACCATAGCAAGACTATAAAATGTAAGATAGTACTTTCACTTTGTTTTTAGGTAAACTGGAAATATCCCATATTTACTTGGTAGCTTAGATTTGGATATTCTCATTTTCATCAAAGTCTTGATTTGGTTAAAGAAAAACAGATAAGATTAAAATAACTATTAAGCAAAGTGTCATTTCCTCAGAAAGTGATAGAACTTAGTTGAAATAAAGCCATGTTCAAATTGAAATGATCACACTAATTATACTAGTTTTAGAGGACTTTCCATTTTATAAAGAGCACTATAGTGCTCTTGTAAAGGTACTGTGCTATGGGGCTGGCTTAACTATCAAACTACGCATTAACAAGGTCTTTGATACTTAAATAATGAAATTTATTTGGATTGGTTCCAAAATTGATCTAAATGAATAGGGTTATAGCCATATTTCTTTAGAAAAATTCCCTTTTCTTTGAATCTTTGTAGCCAGTTGAGATCTTCCTAGGCTGTTTGATTTCTGTAGATATTGTGTTTAACAAAATGAGACTTGAAAAAGAATTAAGAAGTCTGGGGAAAAAGTGTAGTTACTAACATTTTTTTTCCTTCTTGGTCACCTTTTGTTTAGCTAAAGATGTATCTTAATTCCACAGGAAAGCACAGAACAGCTCATAGACCTCATTCAAAACCAAAAACTTCAGATGTTTTTGAAGCAGATTTTATAGATGACCCAAAATCCGAGGGCAGTTTCCTCAGTGAGAAGGAACTGTGGGCTCGACTTGATGAACTAGAAAGACAAGAAGATCTTTTGGGAGAACTCGATAAGTATGTAGAGGCAAATTTTGCCTCAAAATGATAATCTTGCCATCTTTACTTAGAATATAGACCAAATATGACATAGTGATATCCCATATGTTTTATAGAAAATTTTTTCACATAGCACTGAGCAATTTCTCTTTGAATTTTAAGAATAATGGCTTTGAATATGTTTGCTACTATAAAATGTTTAACTGTGCTTTCCTTCTGTCAAAATTTCTGTTTAATTAGCAAACTACTAGTAATCTGGTCAGGTGTTTATGTATGAGAAACTTTACTAAGTGGCTGTTTAAAACATATATTAGCACCCACTTAGAATTGTCAAAGTGCTCAATGAATTCTCTTACCACAGAAGCTCCTACTTTATTTTACTTAAATGATGGAATATGTGCAGTAATTAGTTTCTTTGAAAAATAGGACACAATCCACATGAGGTAGGGGTTTTTTATAAGTCATCCAGGAGTTGTAGTTCACGTGTTCTTGGGCATTTTTCATTAATTGATAATATAGTTTAAAAAAATCTTATTAGTATAAGGGTTCTCAACCTGGGGTCCTTGGTTTCTTGAACTCGAATGGGAGAAAAATAACATCTTTATTTTCAGTCACTTTGTTTTTATATTTATTCACTAACTGTATTTTCACTAATATTCAAAATTTGCTGTTACATTTGTCCATCTATATTGTACGTATCTCTCATCTGTCTGTCAAAGATGAGGACAGTATTAACCTTAGTATTTAAAATGTGTACTTAATGAACTAACAGCTATCTAAACTGTGATTGAACACCAGTAATGCCCAATACATGGTATTTTTCCAGCTCTTAATGATTTTTTTTTCTTTTAGTAATTTTTTTTCCCAATTAACAGACATCTTTTTTTTCTCTCCCCACCCCAACATCTTGGGGAAAAAAAAAGAAAAAGAAAACCCTTGTGTGAAATATGCATAGCTAAGCATAAAAGGTTCCCACATTGGCCATGCCCCAAACCATATCTTACTCTGCAGCCTGAGGCCATCACCTCTCTTTCAGGAGGTGGGTATTTTGTTTCACCATAGGTTCCTCTGTAATCATGGCTGGTCATTGAGTTGATCAGAGATATTAAGTCTTTTAAAGTTGTTTGGTTTTACTTTGTTGTTTTTATTGATAATCCTGATTATTGGTTGTTTACAGTGTTGATGTTATTGGTTTTCCTGGTTCTCCTTATTTCATTCTTATCAGTTCATACATGTTTTTCCAGATTTTTCTGAAACCATCTCTTTCATCATTTCTTCTAGCACATTAAATCCATTACATTCATATACCATAATTTGTTCAACAATTCCTTAATTATTGGGGAATCCTTCATTTCTAGTTCTTTTCTTGGCCACCACAAAAAAGAACTGCTATTAATGTTTTTGCACATAAACATTTCCCTTTTCCTCTTTCTTTGTTCTCTTGAGTACCTTAGTAGTATTAGTGGGTTCGATGGTATACAAAATTTAGTGATTGGTTAGTCATAACTCCAGATGGCTTTTTCACACTAGACCAGTTCTTAGTTCTCTGGAAGAATTAAGCAATTGGTTACTTACCATAAGTAGAAAATGGTACATAGTTAAGTTTATTTGTATTTATAAATACACATTTAAATATATATTTTTGTTATCAATTTTACTATGTATTTTTAATGTTAAATTATATATATTTTAATCTTTTTTTCTTTTTTCTACAGAAAATCTGATGCTGTGTTTGTAAATGGAGATGATATAAGCTCTTCTGAAGAGGAGAAAGAAGATCAAAAGACAGCTGTGACTGTGAAACACGGAGTAACAGACTCTCCTACTCAGGACAGTTTTCAAAAGGACATTACAGATTCGAAGTTACTTAGTGGTCAAGTGAATGGTTCAAGTTCTTATAGTGATGATGATGATGATGATGATGATGATGATGATGATGATGATGATGGTTTAGGAGTTGGAGATAATTGTGTACCAACTATATATTTTTCTCATACAGTTGAACCTAAGAGGGTTTGTATGCTTTACTTATACTTACTTATATTATATAATTTGTAATTTTATTTGTATTTAGAGATACAGTTTCTTTATACATTTCAGAGTTATAAAACAAGAAGACTAGTTTTTCTCACTTAGCCTAAAAATAATTTCTTTGAATTGGTTCATTAGGTTCATTACCTCCAACTAAACACAGGGCTATGTGGACCTGAAGAGGCTTAAGACCTCTGGAGGTAACAGTCCTGTCTCTGTAAAGAAGACATGGCTAAAAATGTCAGAGATAGTCATGTTAAGGTAGCTGTATTGGTGAATTTAGAAAATTGCAAGAGTCTCTCTTAATTGTACTTAGTTAAACTTTTAATTTATTACTTGATTTATAAAAATAAATGTATGTGATTAGCAAGTAGTAGAAAATTTTATGGTGAAGTTAGTTTCCTCTCCCAGTTGGAAATAAATGGATATATCTATAAACCTCTATTTGAATTTTAAAGGTTTTCAAGTTGGGGGGAACCTTAGAGATTATTGAGTTCAACTTACCTTGAAGATGAGGCATCTTAGACCCAGATCAGGAGAGTGACTTGGCCATGGTCACACATATTTTCTATTGCAAACCTGGGGCTTGAAAGCAAGTTACCTATTTCCCAAGTCTAGTGTGCCTTCTCTTAGGTCAAAACATCTCTAAGTATTGTCACAACCAAGCAAAAAACTAGTAAAGTATATCTGGAAACCATTTGAGCTTTTGGATTTATCTGTATTTTCAAATAAAACATGAAATGATGATCCATTTGCTTTGCTTATATTGTTCTTAAGGTAGCAAAGCAGTAATTTTACAAGGTGCCCACTATATTCTTAGGGTTCATTTCCTAATTCAAGACTCTGAAGTAAAACAATGTAATTATACTAAATCTGTGTAAAATTGAGTATGAATTGATTAGAAAAACAAAATTTGAATTTATTTGCGTGTAGCCTTTCTAGTCTTAACTCCAACTCTCCTTGTTGCCTAGTATTAAAATTAGGCAGGGAATTGCTTGATTAGTAAGTAGTTATTGATTTATAAAGTACTATGTAAATCCAGAATAGGATTATGAGATTATTAATCTGTTAATCTTAAATTCTTCCTGACCAGACCCTAATACTTTGAAATGTAAGATTCTGTTTTATATACTCTGGAGTTTTAGTAATTGAATTATTTGTCACAGCTTGTACTTTTTCATGCATTAAACCTGATAATATTCTGATTGAATATTTCTTTTGATCAGTCCTTTTCCTGTGTTTTTCATTTTGAAATTCATGAATTTTGAAGTCATGAATTTGTAAAGAAAGTAATGGTATGATGTTAAATGTTAAACTTAAAAGCTCAAGCATTACATATCTTTTATGTAATAATAAATTGGAAGTTAAGTTCCTGGAGTGATTAAAGAATACATATATTTATGTTAGGGATATGGTATATGTCTCAGAACCTTTTCTACTATGGTAGGGATTTTTTTGATTCTTTGTGTTAAAGCACGTAAATTTTATGCAGTGTCAGAAGTTAGGAATTGACAGTGCTGCTGTTATGATTATTCATAATTTACCCTAGTGTACTGCATTTTGCAAACTCTTATCTTCACTGTATAGATCTCAATTTATACTCTGTTATTTTTGTTTTCGTGTGTGTGTGTGTGTATGTGTTTAGGTACGAATAAATACTGGGAAAAATACTACTTTAAAATTCAGTGAAAAGAAAGAAGAAGCCAAACGTAAACGGAAGAATAGCAATGGCAACAGTAGCCATTCTATTCCAGAACTACCCAACATCAGAACTCCTGCTGATGTTTATAGGTACATGATTTATAGTTAAAGGACTTATTTCCCCTCCATGCTTTGTTGCAGTTGTACTTTTAACAGGAAAATTGGTGTGTGTAGTACATGGGACCACCTATGTAATCACCTGAAAGATAAGGCGCTCTTGTGGGTTTAGCCTAGCATTCTGAAGGTTCCTTAAGGAGCTGGTGATTTGCCAGAGCCTCTAATCAGAGGTGATTGTAGGGTGTTGTGTGGTCTCTTCCTCACTTGGGTGATATTTTTGTAAACATTCTCAATTGACGTAGTTGAGTAAATCTTATGTCTAAGCTTGAGAAGATATGTTGTGATTTTGATGGGACTGGATCATAACTTTTTGACCATTACATACATACATACATACATACATACATACATACATACATACATACATACATACATACGTATGTATGCATGTATGCATGTATGTATGTATGTATGTATGTATGTATGTATGTATGTATGGCTTATTCATTTGTTGCCTTTTTACAGAGTTGAAGTTGATTGTAGTTAATTCCTTCAGTTTGTTTATTGGGCTATTTGGGAGGCAGTGTGATGCTGTAGATTGAGTCATGGGACTTGCAGCCTGGCAGACCTGTGTTCAGACCTCGCCTCTGATACTTGCTAAAGCCCTATGATCTTGGGGAAATCACTTGCTTCCATGTCTCCTTCTGTAAAATGGGGATAATACCCACAAATATGTACCTCATTGTTAGAAGGCTAAAAAGAAACTCTTGAAGTTTAAAAAAATAAGAAAAGGATTTTATTTTGATCTTCATGATCTATGTTTATAAAATGGTGAAAATTGTCAGGTGTCTGAGTATTATCTAAAACATCTAAAATTGTTACACGTGAAGCTGTTGCCTTTTAGAATATGTTTATGAAGTATGCCATTTTACATTAGGGTGGAAATTCTGCCTTTTCAAAATAATGAAACATGTATTTTTAGATAGCATAATTACTATGATATTTGTGAAGTTTCAGATGAACCATAATTATAAAAATTACTGGATTTTAAAAGTTGGACCAGCAAATTCAAATTAATTGTTATGAAATACCAGGATTTAAAAAAAAAGTGTCATGAGATTCTTAAGTAGGTTAAAGTGTGTATTTTCCTTCATATTATAGAGTCTTTGTTGATGTTGTAAATGGAGAATACGTCCCTCGTAAATCAATTTTGAAGTCTCGGAGCAGAGAGAATAGTGTGTGTAGTGACACCAGTGAAAGCAGTGCTGCTGAGCTTGAGGACCGGCGAGGAGTGATGAGGAGCCTCAGTCATGATGAAGCTGCCTGCACCGATGCCAGTGAAGGGATTTTGGATCAGCAAGAAAATCAACAGAAAAAGCTGTTATCCCTATCAGGAAAACTTGAGGTATCACTTTCTAACACTTGATTGGTTATGCAGGGTCCTTATATAAAATCATCAGCATGTTTATTAGATAAGGAGAATCTAAATTGGCACTGGCCCTGTTTTTCAGGGATAGATGATTTACTTGCCCTTATTTGCAGTGTCAATTCTTGGACTTGTCTTAAAACTCAGTCTTGTTAGACCGCCCTCTTTTGTAAGGTGTTGTGAATTCTCATTCTTGAAATCTTACTCTATTTAACTTTTTCTTTTTTTGAAGAAAATTGATAGTTTTTTAAAAAACTGTTTATGACACCTTAAACCTCGTACTTCCGTCCTCACCAGTCATTATCCATTGGACATGGCATTGCTTAACCTCTCGTTTGAGATAAGATTTTTCTTTTTTAAAGCTGTAGTCATAGGGTCTAAATTTTTCTTGACCTTTTTGATAGCACTTTATAAAAATTTAATAGCTAAGAAGTGTCAAAGAAAAAGAGTTCGGAACTAAGTAAATTTCTTCTGTATTCTCAATTATACCTTAAAATATTTGAAACAACTTGTCTTGTTCTCCCATAATTTTGCCACTGGGAGCTTTCCTCAGTTCTCCTTGACATTTTGAGGGTATCATTTGGAACAAACCGACTGTCAATAAGTCATGCCTTTACTCTTTCTATATGACCTACCCCCTTTGTTTGTTTGCTTGTTTTTTGGTTTTTGATCACCCATTTCTGTGATGACATCTTTTATTCCAGTTCTCCTTTTAGTTGCTTGTTTGTGACATAAGACAGTCTGCTTGTACCCAGTGTATTCCTCTCTACTGCCCTCTGGGTGGTATTCATTTTTTACTGCTTTTGAGTATTTATTAAATGTTTTATAACTTTCAGCCATACAATAGTATTTATAGAATATTGGCATTAAAAAATAGATCTTTGTTTTTGGGAAAAGTTTGAGATCATTAAAAGAACTTTGTGGTTTCCCAAAGACTATCTTATCTAACCCACTCTTCTCATCTTCGGTTCTGGGTCACATTCATCCATTTGTATTGTTTGTCCAATATATTTATGTTTATGTGTTGAGGTGTGTGTATATGTATATGTGCTTATGTGTGTATGCATACAGTGTATATTTTTATCTACACTAATAGGTGAGTACTTTATCAGACTATTTAAAATTTCAATATAAAAATTTGTGGAAGAAGTGACTTTAAAAGACCATTTTACCTAGACGCTCTTTAAATTAGTCCTGTGTCCTATGTAAAACTAGAGTGCAAGGTGAAATAATATTTTATTTAAATTTCACTTAATGGATTTTATTTAGATGCATTTGAGATTTTCTTTTTCCCTAGACATGTAGGAAAATCATTGAACTTGGATCTGACATTACATACTCTCCAGCAACTGACCTGTATTGTGTAGTCTTAGTTGCGCAAGGGCACTAAAAGGTTGTATTCTTTTACTTGCCTAGTTATGTTCATACTGTATGTGAGAGGCAGGACTTGAACCCATGTATATCAGTATCTGTTTCTAGCACACACATACATACATATCTATACATGTATATACACACATTTATATGAGAATACATCTGTGTTCTCTATTCATACGTTATTCTTCTGAAGACTCATTTTGCCTGTGAGGTTCTTGAGGGTTGTTTTAGTGGAATTTTTAACCTTTGGTAGGCCCTACCAAACTATATATTGATCCTGAAAAGAATCCTGATACTCAAGGACCAGTCTAGCTAAGTATAGAGGCCTTACCCTAAGAAGGTTGGCTATTAGCTGACAAATTTTTTTGGCCACCACGCTGGTGAAGATTCTACTTACATGTAGGAGGGAACCTAATTTTGCTGACACTTAAGGGATTCTTTAAGTATTGAAATATGTTTTTTTGTCTGATTTCATAAAAGACACATGCAAACGTGTATGTTTCTTGTAGCTAGGTACTACTGTGCATTGGGTGACTGGTACGTCCAATATTTAAGGGAATCATATAAGGAATGTTTTTAAACTCATGGTCTACTTGTGCTTTAGATAGCACCTTAACAAGTTAGGGCCTCTAAGGAATTAGAAAGTAGCATTTACTTTTGCTGTTTTGCAAAACTCAAAAAATTAAAACTTTTGAAGTAGTTCATAATTTTTGGGATAGCACTAAAATCAGGAACTTGTTTAAATTTCATTTGTATTAGCTTTGCCTTTCATGTGAAACGGTTACAGTAAGTAGTATTAGGGGCAGCTATGTGATACAGGGATACAACGTTGGGCCTGGAATCAGGAAGACCTGAGTTCAGATTCAGCTTCAGAGATTTACTAAATGTGTGACCTTGGACAAGTAACTTAAGCTTTGATTCCCTCTTCAGTTTCCTTAACTGCAAAGTGGGCATAGTACCCTACTCTGAGGGTTATTGTGAGAATCAAATGAAAATCAGTGCCTGGCAATTAGTATATATTATATAAATGCTAATTGTTATTATCATTATTATTATTATTATTATTATTAGTAGTAGTAGTAGTAGTAGTAGCAGCAGTAGTGGTAGTAGTATCATCTAGGTATAAAATTCAACATTGAAAGGATTAATTCATGATTCTGGCAGATATTTCCAAAGTAAGTTTTCATTATCTCTTTAATGTAGAATTTTGGCTATTTCTCAAAAGTTTTTACAAATAGATTTTTATAGATTCTTGCTTATATTGTGAAATAGCTTCTGGTTAAATGAAACCCATGGGGAAGTAAGAGTATATTTTGAGAACTTTCCACAAAACAGTCCTAGACTTCCTTTGAAGTATTGCTTTTTATGTATACTATCTAATTGGCTTAAGTAATGTTTCTCACCTTTCGTTGAAAAGGGAACAAAACTTGTGGTTTGGCAACTTCTGTCAAAATTAAGCTAGAGAAGGCTAAGTTACCAAGTTATACAAAGTTTTTTAAAAACATTGGATAGTTTTCAAAAAATACATTTTTATACTACAGGATGAAACTTCAGAGAGAGAGAGAGTGTGTGTGTGTGTGTGTGTGTGTGTGTGTGTGTGTGTGTGTGTGTGTGCGTGTGCGTGTTAAATTATATAGCCTGTTTTATAAAAGGCAATTTATAGTTAAGAATGTTTAAAGATGGTGTTTTAAAGGATACTTACATAGAACTTGTTCAAAGAATTCTGTTTTAAACTTAATTAAAATTTTGACTATATATGTTAAATTGTTATTGATTTTTTTAAAGGTAGTTCATTTGATTAAAATAATATGGACCTTAGAGACATAGCACATTTGCATTTTGTTGTTTCATCTTGATTCCCCCCCCCCATAGGCTTTTTCTGGAACCGTAATAGAAAAGGAACTTTTATCTCCTGTAATACCACACCCAGGCACTGTGCATCCTGTATTACCAACCATACCTGAACGAAAAGAATTTTTGTCAGAAGTATCAGAAGAAACTACAAAAAGGATTTCAAAATTCAAAGCTGCCAGATTGCAACAGAGAAACTAGGCCTGCCTAGAAAATGGAAATTTGCATCTTAAAGCACAGTTTTGCAATTTGTTATAAATGTCACTTACACGTAGTTAGGAGTAATGCATCCAATGTTATTTTGGCAGCAAGTTCTTTTTCTCTCTTTATCAGTGGTATTTAAAAAGATTAAAAATAAATGTTTTGAATACTTGAATGTTCACTTTATTTTGTTAATTTCTTTGTATGCTGTCAGTACCTTTGTCTATGTTTGCTTCATGATGCAGTAGCAGCATTTGGAATTATTTTTCAAAGAATACTATTCACATGCATTGTTTTTGTGTTTCAACCTAAGTACAGGCAGTTTTGTACCAGCTGTGATGTTCTGCATACCATATGGACCATTTTAAAGAAACTTTAAAAATTTCAAATGGATTCAACAATTATATTTCATTACTTGCTTTAGCATTTTAAAGACAGTTTTGTATCTACATTGTTGTAGGTTTTGCAAATAGGTGGCTGTTTCAAAATTTGTTTCTTTTCCCCTTCTAGTAATTTCTCTTATGATGTAACAATCTTTGAGGCAGAAAAACTGTTTACATATTGTAAAGGGAAGTTTCTTTGATGGGAAAAATGGTATTTTGTAAAATAGAATTTTTTCAAGTAAAAAAAATTATGAAATCCATGGTCTCTAAATCTTTATTTTGCAACTTGTGGCTAAAATATTGAAGCTCTATTATTCACATATTCACTCTATATGATGTACAGTGTCTACTTGAATTTCTTATAGTTCCATCGTCACTTTTCTTCCCTGATGCATGTAATTTCTAATACCTGTTAATTGGGAGTTATATGTTGGGAAAGAGAAGAATTGACTAAACGCCTAAAGAGATTATCTTGAAGAAATTCTCGTGGTCTGATATTCTAAACATTTTCCTTCTCTGAGGTTACTTTTCTAGTAGTAAGTAACTGAAGTAAAATATTTACTTTTAACACAACTATCTGGAATGAACAGAAATTTATTTTAAATGTATTGAAAATTACACTGCAAGTGTTAATCGTTAGCATGATGCAGGCTAAAATGTAGCCTTTTCAAAAGCCTGCTGCATTAGTACTAAAATAAGTCATCAATGCCAGTCCACCCTCTCTATTCATGACTAAATATTTAAAGGAGGCTATTTATAGCTTCTTTAATGAATTCTTGGCTAAACAAAATGAAATTATGTCCCAGAAAAGTAGAAGCTTTTTTGTAACCAGAACAGTGCAAACTGTAAAATAGTTTTATGAATATTTATTTTAAATAATATAGGATTGAGATCTAATGCTGGTAGACATGGGTAAATCAGAGCAGGAGCCTACTCTTAGTGATTTTCCCTTTTAAAAAAAACATTTGTTATTTAGTAGTTTTGATCAAATAATCATTTAATAAATTTGTACAATTCTTAGTTCCCTGATTACTGTAAGGGAAAGGAACTTTTGTTACAGTTCTCTTTTGGGGGGTATAATAGTATTCCTCACACACATACATTTTCTTTTCAAAATACTTTTTATTGATGTTTTCTCTTTTTATATATGATACTTATCCCAAGTGTCCCTCATTTTCCCTGTCCCATAGAGGGGAACAAATTTGAGAGAGAAAAAAAGTCAGTACAACTGATTGATATATTGAAGAAGTCTGAAAACATGTAAAGAGTAACACTTGTGGACCTACCACCTCTACCAAGGAGTCCATCGAGGGTGTCTTCAGTAGAGACCTGCTTGATCTTTATAATTTTGTTACATTTACTTTTGATTTTTTTTTTGGGGGGGTGCATCATCATTCTTTTCATTTGCATTATTGTAGTTACTGCATATGTTGTTCTCTTGGCTCTGCTTGCTTCACTTGGCATTAATTCATGTAGATCTCTCCATGCTTTTCTATATTAATCACCCACATTTCTTCCAGCACAGTAATATTCTATTGTATTCATATGATTTTTTTTAACCATCCCCCTATTGATGGGCATCTACTTTGTTTCCAATGCTTAACTTTCACAAAAAGTGTTACTATAAATATTTTGGAGTATGTGGGGACTTTTTCCCTTATCTATGGCCTCCTTGAGGTATAAGCTCAGTGGTGAGGGGAGTCTATTTGAAAGGGTATGAACATTTTAGTTACTTTATTTGCATAATTAAAAGCTGCTTTCCAAAATGGTTGTACCATTTTACAGTTTCACCAGTAGTGTAGAGTGGATAGCCTTCCAAACCTTCCCTCCCCCAACTTTGACTGTCGCCATTCTTTGTCATTTTTGCTAATTTGCAAAATGTGAAGGGAAACTTCAGGATTGTTTTTATTTGCATTTCTATTATCAGTGATTTTTGAAACTTTTTTTTACTTTGCAATTCTTTTGTGAACTGTTTGTTCACATCCTTTGATTACTTATCTTTTGGAGAATGGCTGTTAGTCATATATGTATTCAGACATTAATATTTAAGGACAACTGGATTTTATACATTACTTACAGATGATCATGAAGTCTTGAAGTGACTGGGGGATCCAGAAGCCAATTTTAAAGCTCCTTCCTGTTTGTGTAGGTTGTGTTTCTTTTTTGAAACCTTGCCTCTTTCCCACAAAGAATAATAAGATAGCTTGAAAACACCATACAATTGTGTAGCAGTGTGTTACATTGTGGCTGCCAAGGATCTGTTTGCTTTTGAAGAAGGTAGCTGCACTTGTCCCTTCTTAGAAAGGTCTATACCTTCATTTTTAATGAAGCGAATTAAGCAGCAAATTAAAAAATGCTACAGATAAATTCCAGTGCCAAATTCCAGCAGACAGGTAGGTAGCATTAGGTGAAGAGTAAGACTTACTGTGTTCTAGTCCTACTTCCTGTCATGGGTTTGGGCAAACAACTTCTCGGTACCTCTGTTTCCCCATCTGTAAAATGAGACTAAACCAACAATTACCAAGGGTCTACTGTGATTATATATAAAAAGTATTGTGCTAAGAACTGAGTAGTCAAAGATAGATCAAAATGGACCCTGCCCTTAAGGAGTTTACGTTCTTTTGGGGGATTGGGAAAGTTGCAGAGTATATGGAGAGTATGTACATAAGTAACTGATAAATTCAAAGGAGTGCTCCAGCAACTGAGAATCTTGAGAAAGAAAAGATTGACTCAGTCTGGGCCAGGTATGGATGAGGAGCTAAATGAAGGCTTTATTTCATGGAGGAAGCAGCTGTATTGGACTTTAGAGTCTGGTTTAGTTTTGGACTAAAGTGCTGTAGAAATGTAAGGTTGTGTGTGTGTGTGTGTGTGTGTGTGTGTGTGTGTGTGTGTGTGTGTGTGTGTGTGTGTATGCATATATATGCAATGCAGTCACTATCCCTCAGGTGCCTTTGGCATAATCGAAGGAAGTTTGATTTATGTACTTATATTGACTAACTTTAATGGAAAATATGTTTGCATTCTGGTTCTTTGAAAATTGAGGATGTAATTGCTATCTTGATATCAAAATACCTTACTTTCTAACCAGAGAATCCAGTTACAAATTTTTTGGTTCAGAGAATCGCCATAATAGATGATTCCAATTCTAGTTCCATTAGTGAACCTGTGGAATAGGATTCCTTTGTTAACCTGTTTATTGAGTAACAGGATAGTCAAGATGCATTGGGGTATACATTACTTACAGTGTTCTTGGACAAAAATATTATAGCCTTAGTGATTAGAACTTTCCTATGACAACAAGGTAACTATCCAAATTGGGAACAGCTTTTGAAATTTTATTTCCATAGTGATTGAGAGGATTCTTCTTTGACTTAGAGGTTGCAGAGACTGGACTGTATATATGAAAGAAGTAAAGATTATTCAGTTGAAGAAAAATAAGGAATAAAGGTGTTAGTATTAAGGGTGGAGCCAGTTAAGTTTGACCTCACAGAGGAATTCTTAATTGTGTTATATTTGAGTGAGAGGTGCAGTGACTAATATTTGGGGCACAGATGTTTTGGGAGGTTGGAACAATCTGTTAAGAATTGGGGCAGTCCTTGCCAATGTGGCTTTGGTGTCTGGGCTGATAAACTTGGGAGGTTATAGGGGTGAGGGGAAAGAGATGAATTGATGAAAGATTCCATTTTCATGTGAAAATGGTCTATTTTTGTGAAAATAGAGGGAAAACTGAATTTTTTATGATTTAACACTTTGTCATTCTGATATGTGAAAGGCCTTATATAGATTGGATCTTCCTATAATAACAGAAGCAAAAAGGAGGTCAAGGGATGCTTTAATGTGTGGCATATTTGGGGAGTTTTGCCAACTACCAAATGCTAAATATGAATGCTATTCTAATAGATAAAATGTTTTACTTCAGGAATTTGACATTTGTAAACACTGCCCTTTGCCTGGAGAAAGGTGTGTTTTAACAACAAGATGTAATTATATACAAAACATATTTGAAAATTAGGTAATGACATAAGTAAGCATTTTGGGGATATGAGTGCTATGTTAGTCACATAAGCATACGATTTGTAGTAATGAGTTTGAAGGTTTAAAAAATAGGGGTTCGAGTAGCTTAATTGGGTCTTTGTTGGCCTTCTGTATGAGTTTTATAGCTATGAAATGGATTTTTTTCATCCCTCCCTCAGCCCCCCAGTATTACTAACGTAGCTTCTGATTTTAGCCAGTATTGGGCTCCTTAGCATTTAGCTTGGCATATGGTTTAAGAAAGGTTATAAAAAAATAGTTTGGGCATCATTAAATATGTATATTCATGAGGAAAGAACTAGTTAAGAGTAACTAGGCAAACATTTCAGAAAAACTTGGAAAATTATCTGGAAATTTTAAAAAGCAATTCTCAAAGGCCAGATAATTATTTGTAATTTCTGGAGACTATATTAAGCAAATGAGCTAACATTGGGTTGGTAATGTTAAAGGAGAAAAGATAATTTTAGAGTTTATTTTCTGTTGGTAAATGTCTAATGGCTAGAGCATAGCATGTGGAAGTCTCTGCTATTATAGACATAAGTGACTGTCAGGATAACAAAAGCTAGGGAATTTGTGGGGTTTGATTTCTCATAAAAAGTTTTGAACACAAAATAAGAACACTATGAAAGTGCTATGTATTTTTCTCTTTTGACATAAATTAGGGTTCCATCCTTGCAAAATTTAGCTTAGTTTTAGGAACCTTTGAGCTATTTGACTTTTCTCTTTTTCCATCTGAAATGAAAGACGTCTCCTGGCTTTGAAAACTGCTATGACTGAGCCAGTGGAGCTGGAAACATGGATGTACAGAGGCAACAGACTGCTTCTGTGCATATGACCAGTTGGCTTTAATGGGAACACCCACCCTTGTGGCTTGGTGCTATGAGTACCTCCAGGTAATTCTGTGTGTTGCAACTTATTACTAACATAGCAATTTGCCTTACTTCAGGAACTGAAAATTGAAAAATCACATGTGCTCTTATTGTTCCTAACACAGCTGTTAGGGTTTTGTGTCTTTTTGTGTTCATTTCAACCAAGTGACTTCTACTGCAAAAGATGAACTAGGATGAAAAGAAATCAGATGTGTGTATTTGGTATGCAATATTTTTGTAATACAAATAGCTACATTCTAACCCACATTAACCCCATGATATGTGAATTTTGCCAACTCCTGCTGTGTCTTTTAAATCAAATCCAGTAAATCACTATGAGTGTTCTAATTTCTAAAC